ATAGTGGAGTAACATCAGATGGAACGTAGACAGTTGGAAATAAGTGCCAGGCAGTGGAAGGAGAAGCTGCAAAGGGAAATGTGGATTCCCAAAACTCCACATCTCTGCTAAGAAAGAATTTCTTGTCCTTGAGATTGTAGAGAATATAGCCTTTAGTAGTAGTACTGTAACCCATGTGAACAGCCACCACACTTTTAGATTGAAACTTATCATGAATGTACATGTTCTTTGAAAAACACAAGCAACCTAAGACTCTCAAATGTTGAAGAGTAGGTTTGGAGTTGTGAAATACTTCATGAGGAGATTTTCCATGTAATATAGGAGTTGGCAACAAGTTAATGATGTAAGCTGCTGTGAGGACACAATTACCCAAAACTGATAGGATATGACCTTGAAATCTGATTGCCCTGGCAACCTCAAGAATGTGTTTATGTTTTCTCTCAGCAATACCATTTTGCTGAGGTGTGTGAATACACGTCCTCTGATGAGTAATGCCTAAGCTGGTAAATAAGTTGTGACATTCAGCATTCACAAACTCAGATCCATTATCAGTCCTAATAGTTTTCACCATAGCATTGAACTGAGTTTTAACAAAATGAGAAAGTTTTTCAAAACTACACAAACATCACTCTTTAGTTTTATTAGGAATATCCATAGCATTCTGGTACAATCATCTACTATAGTAACAAAAAATATGTTGCCATCATAGGTGGGGGTGTTAAAAGGCCCCCAAACATCAATATGTAGTAATTAAAAAGAACGTGTGGACACAGTAATACTGTTGGGAAAAGGAAGTCTATGTTGCTTGGCTAAAGGACAAATGGTGCAGCTGTGGAGATCTTTAGAGCATTGAGTAGGGGAAATAGCAAGTAGACGAGCCAAAACACTGGAAGAAGTGTGGCCTAGCCTTTGATGCCATAACAGTGACTGAGATTCTGTTGAAGAAGAAAATGCCACCATGTGCTAAGTGAGAAGAGCATTGAGGGGTTGTTTTCATAGGTGGGTTGTGATTTGGCAGAAGGTAGAGTCCAGCATGCTCTCTACCAATCTCCTTCACCTGCCCATTTGAGAGGTCCTGAATGACAACAAAGTCAGGAAAGAAACATACTGCACAATTAAGATCTTTGGTAAGTTGTGAAACTGACAGTAAATTGAATTTAAATTCAGGAACTAGGAGAACATTGTTGATTATGTCCTTAGGAGTTACTCGACAGGAGCCCGTATGTGTAATTAGAGTTGTTTCACCATTTGGCAACTGAACACTTCTAGGCTTATTATCAAGTAGTTGGTGTTTATGAGTAAGCATTTCTGAGTATGAAGTCATGTGATTTGTTACCCCCGAATCTACAATCCAACCTGTATAAGCTGAATTTACTGTGAGAGCATTACATTACCTGCTGAAGTGTAGTTTTCCTGAGCTAAATTAGCACTGGAATGTCCTGATGAGGATGTTGTTGCTTCAGTGCCTCCCTGAACATTAGACTGACCAAGCATATGTAGGATTTGATTATACTGTTCATGTAACACAATCATACCTTTGTGATAGTCAGTATGGTCATTGTGTCTAACACCTCTTTCATAATCAGACTGTTCAGTGTATCTAGAGCCTCTTCCATGTCTCTGAGTTCTTGGAACCATGGGATTTACTCTTCTGATATAGTCTAGATCACCATCACTAATTGCATTATGAGCAGCTGGATATGACCTCCTATCATTAGAGGCTCTACCTCTCCCTTGGAAAGTGTTGTTAGGGCCTTTCTTCCTCTTTTCAAATCCAGGTGGATACCCATGCAGCTGATAACAAATTGCTTGAGTATGACCTGTCCGTTTGCAGTAGTCACAGAATGCATTTGGATCATAGCTAGACCTTGGCCTAGGCACTGGGGCTGACATGTTACCAATAGTGAACATAACATTTAATTCAGAACAATTAGAACTACTGGCAGTTTGAGAGATGGTACGCTAGCTTTCTCTCTCAATCAAAAGTGAATAAGTCTTGTTCAGGGAAACGAGAGGTACCATCATTAGAATTTGTCCTCTAGCTTGTTCATATGAATCATTCAACCCCATAAGAAACTGAAGCAGCTTCTGATTATGCACAAACTTCACAAATTCACTTGAATTCACACATTCACAACTAGGAACAGGAGTTATGCTATCATATTCTACCCACATTTCATGCAATCTAGAGAAATATGCAGAGATCGAACTTGTACCTTGACTGATAGTTGCAATCTCTTTGTGCAATTGAAAGATGCGAGATCCATCGACTTTATCATAGCGTTCAGCCAGATCTTTCCATACAGCAGAAGCATTTGTAGAGTAGACGATCCCTCCAAGTAATTCCTTTGAAACGCAATTCATGATCCATGATAATACAATTGCATTGCAACGTTCCCATTGGTTCACCAAATTAGGGCCATATAACTCATTTTGCAAGACCATCAAGAAATCCAAGTTTATTCCGACCTATAACTGCAATTTTAACGCTCGACTCCATACAGAGAAATTATCGGCTCCAGTCAATTGAATTGAACTGAGCAAAACACCAAAATTATCAATGGTGTGTAAGAAGAGAGGATGATTATGACTCAACTTTTCTGGTAGCTCATTGTCAATGGTTGCCATGTTCTTGCTACTTCGAGTAGTTGAAGCAGAGATTCGATCACCGCTCTGATACCATGTGAACTCTCAAGTAGAAGATAGGTTGAAGAGCAATTCTGTTAGTCTAGAACGTTCTTGGAGAAGAGAAGTAGAAATTTCATATGAACTTTATTAATTCCTCACTGTAGAGGATCTGTACCTATATATACAATTAAGAAAGGAATCTAATGTGACTACCTCTAACTAACTCTTTTCCATCTAATCCACTAACTTCTAGTATTTACATAATGACCCCTAGAATACTAAGTAACACCATCTTTAATACTATCTTTCAAGAAAAGACTGGAATTCGATTTCATACACTGAGATCAACCTATCGTGGACAAATATTGGCTAATGATAAGCGTCTTGTTGACCTTGATAATTAGTATTATAGTGTTCTTAATATTATATTAAGCTTGAATTATATTTAGTGTTAGTACTTCTTTCTATTCATCTTTTTAATTTGTCCAACAAGATGATTTTTTCTTATTTCATGCTTGTAGTTATTTTTAATTTTCAGTTGTTCCAATTTGTTTTTGGCAATTTTTGTCTACTGAGATTTAACTAACCTTCAATGCTAAATTGAATCATTTTTATGTAGAAACTATAGGATTACATAAGCTAGAATTCTCCTTGTATCAAAATAATTAGACATTAAATTAAATACATTTTTAATTTAATTTATATGAAATCGGTTGTACTTATATTATTAATAAAAATCATAACCCGCCATGGATGAATATTAGCTGATGATGAGCATTTTGTTGACCTTGATGTTTAGTATAGAGTATTATAATTCCATCAAATTACAATTAGTACAATTTTTCTATATTTCTTCTACGTAATCAATCAACAAGATGATTTCTTTTAATTATTTCATATTTCGTTATTGTTTGGTCTTCGAATCTAAATTTAATTAGATGAGAATATGCACATAATACCTATTAGCATATGATCTAATTTGTATATTATTTTCTCATACATATATGACAGTGATAATAACATTGACAAAAAAAAAGGTTAATTAAAACTTTATTTGGGCCTAAATATGTAACGTAGTTATTACTCTAATATGTGCAAATGGAAATTCAGATGGAATGGATTAGCATGTTGAAGGCCCATCAAATTGGGCTGGGCTTTGAATTCAATGATTGACAAATAATTTAAGAGAAAATTATCTAAATATACAACTTATTTTACCATATTTTCTAAATTTCCTACCACTCGAAAAAATTACAAAATCGTACTCTCTTATTCTCTATATACATCACTTTACATGATGTATTAGTCGGATATGTATCGGGATGTTGAATGTTGTACTCGAAACCAAGACGCGATATATTGGAACGTTTTGAAATGCATTCGGATTCCACCAAATTTAAGAAATTTTTGTAATATAGAAAAGAGCAAGGATAAAATATAATTAGCTCTTAACACTATGAAATTTGTGTAAAATTTCCATAATTTAACTAATAATTCATTTTGGAAACACTTATTTGTGTCAAAACTCAAAACTTTTGTTAAGAAAAAAGTAATCAACGTAAATAATCTCTCACCAACCATTTAATAAATATATAATATTTTGTATAATTCATATTATAATGAGTACTTTACCATCAATAATCAATATATACAAGCCAAGAAAAGTAAATATGAACAGCTTGTTTGGATGATTTTTATCTATTGTATTGTACTGTACTATTTTATTAGTTTAAATACCATGCTTGTTACCTAAATTACGTAATGTGTCTTATTTTAAGTAACAATCGATTTAGTTTGATAACATATTATTTTTTTCTCATTTTATCATTACTTATTATTAATAATTCTATTTTATCTTTTACTCTACTTTTTTATGGTTACTCTATCCGTACTCTACTTTTCTTGTAAGTTTATTCTTCATATCAATTATGTGTGATATGATATAACAATTTAAAACGATACAATCAGTTCTAAAATTATATTCATCAAATAAATATTGTACGATGCAATACATTATTTCAAATCATAAGTAATAAATATTGAGACAAAGTGTAACTAATTCCACTACCAATGAAAGATAAGTAGGTAAGCACGCGGATTGTACCGATCAGATTCAATCGAGTGACGATTACTCCATCTCTTAAGAAAGAACCTATCATTTGTTCAATTTGGACGATTTGATACTTAGTTAATTCTTTTATCTTTATGTTTCCACTGATACCTAATCGGTAACGAACCTGAATGGGCCAATTCCATCAATTTTGGTTGAGGCAATTCTTAATTGTTCATCGCCAACTAATCGAACATGCGGAAAAAATAATTGGATTGATGTGTCACAGACGAAACATTAAGAACCAAAGTGTACACACAGAAGACTTTCCTCTTAAACCCAAAATCCTCCATTAATGGAGACATTTCAAGATTCTTTGAGAGAGAAATCGAAGAAGAGTGGCAGAAGAAAGTTGAAGAATCCAAAAGTTAAAGCAAAAAGATGAAGAATTTACCGGTGTTTTTGATGGGTTGTGGAGGAGTTGGCCGTCAATTGCTTCAACACATTGTTTCTTGTCGATCTGTTCACGCTAAACAGGTAATGAAAAGTGTTGTCTTTTTATCAATTTGAGAAACTCATCGTCAATTTTGGTTGTTATTAGTGCTTATTTTTGTTGGGTTTTTGTGGGTAATACTAAAAACTTACAGGGGTTGCATTTGCGAGTTGTGGGTGTGTGTGACAGCAAATCTTTGGTGGTTGTAGCTGATGTTCTTACTTCAGAATTCGATGATTCATTTCTTCTTGAAGTTTGTCGTGTCAAATCCAATGGCTCTTCATTGCAGACTCTTGCAATTTCTGGTAGCAGTTCACCCTTTTTATGGTTTTGTTGTTTAAGTCATTTGGTGTGCTTATTTGTAGAATGACAAAAAGGTGAATTCTTTTTTTTTGTTCCAACATGTAGGTGTGTGTCAAGTGTTTTCTGGTCCAGAAGTTATACGAAAAGTAATTGATATTGGACTTCTTGGAAAATCAACAGGTTTGTGTCATGTCCAAGATATAGTGTCGTCTATTCTTTACTGGTGGAGGACTAATCTACTTGAGAAGTTTGATTAGTAACAATGAGTAGCTGTTAACTTTATGCTGTATGGATTAAATGCTATGTACATTAGCTCCTACTGTTAAATCTTCCCCATGACTTTTAATGCTTTGACGAGTATAGTATAGTAGTTGACTTCAGCTGCTGCATGATTCTGGACCTTGCTTATTTACTTTGACTGTTTAGTCCAATCTAGGCTCAAATGTATGAAGTGCAGTGAGTAAATTAGCTTTGTTTTTGCAGTCCGGCGGAGTTGTTAGTCTATTTTGCTGTATGGAAGGAAATCTTTTGTTTATCGGGAGGGAATGAGTTCAAAAAGCATCTTATTCTTGCTTATACATTTATTACAGTTGCTTAAATTCTTTGTACGTGAAGGCATTAGATAATGCAGGTATCAAGGTGTTAGCTTTTGGGGAGTTGTTTCACAGTCAGATTCCTTTTGATTGAAATTCAAACTGTGGCAGGTTTAGCATTTGTTGATTGTTCAGCTAGTGCTGAGACTATTGGAGTGCTAAACCAGGTTGTAGATTTTGGTTGTTGTGTGGTGCTGGCTAACAAGAAGCCTCTTACTGTGCCAATGGTAACCGATCCTTTTTATTGTCGTTAATTTCTTTGAATGTGTAGCTTAAAACCAGGTAGTTGTTGTAGCATAGAAACAGTGTTCTAGACATGGTTCAACCATTGAATATGCCACTAGCAGTAGAAGAATAAAATGTAGCAGACGGTGTCCATGGTTTTCATTTTTTTTTTCTTTTAGCAACCATATGCATGCTTATGTGCAGAAATGCAGTTAATGATCCATTCAACCGTGTTTAATCTTGAAAACTAACAAAAGATGCTAAACGAGACAAGAACAAAAGGCGAGTCAAATGCTATAACATGAATATAAAGTTCGCTGAAGATATATTTAAGTGAACACGTGTGATCTATCTAATAATTTAAACTTCCGCATTAAAAAAAATCTAATAGTTTAAACTTTTGAATGAGGTGACTACCTAATTATTTATGGTAGCAGAGAAGGCAGAGGTTTGGGTTTAGGTTCACCATCACCCTTCATTAGAATGATAAAAAAGTTCCGCGTGCTTGGCCAGTTGGCCCATAGAAAAGAATCAGTTCCACACGCGAGCGAGTTAAATAAATAAAGGTGCACTCAACTTAATTTTTTGGATGAGATGATCACACTATTCAACAGAGCTAAAGTCAACGTCAGTTTCATTTGCTTCCCTTGATTGTTGCTTGCTTACTTATTATGTTTTCTACTGTCAGTGCATAACTTGTAAACATTCAGAATTACAGGTCAATCACCTTTCAACCCTTGTCACCTTTCATCCTCTTAATCTGTAAAAGGGTTTCCTCTCAAATGGCAACTATTATGTTTAGTGTATTGATTATTTTTGCCTTATTTGCAGGAGGATTATGATAAGTTGGTGTCACAGCTCCGTCGCCTTAGACACGAGTCAACTGTATGTTCTCTTGTTTCTATTACGTGTAAAAATCTTTTGTGCACTGAAATGTTGGAGACTAAGGAGATTTTAGAGTGTCATGTTATGGGGTTATACTAGTGTATGGGTCTCTAGGTAGAAAAAATTGAATTGTGTTTGATCGAGTAAGACCAGAAAGCTGGCTGAAACCTTGGTTGTCCTGTCTTTTTGATATCAACATTTTGCAGTGGTGACCAGTTCCGTTTTGTAGCTTCTTCTCTTGTCAATTTAAACACAAGTATATCCAGTCCCTTTATCACCAAGGGGTGTGGTAGGATGGTTGGAGTCCCTCCATCCTACTCTCTCAACTGTGAAAGTTCCAATTTTCCTGTGTCAGATTTCCTCCCACTGTTCGCTGAAAGAAGGATACATTTGAAGATAGAAAGATTAACTGATCATATGGATAGTGATGGGTATCATTTGGTTTATCTGATATCTAGAGCACTAGTTGATTAAAAATTAGCTTCCCTTGTATTTGAGATTCTTAAATGTCTCATACACGTTAAACCTTCCTCTTCTGCTTTAAAAGCTTTTCTTGTTTGACTTCCCAAACTATGATATGGGATTTGTAGCGCATTGTGTTTATTTAAGTGATTAATTTAGCTTCTGTGGTATACGAAGGATAGTATTGTCCTAGTTCAGTTTATACTCGGCTTAGCAAAGTTGTCTGAAATTGCTATATGTGTGGTAGGTTGGTGCTGGCCTTCCTGTCATAGCATCCTTAAATCACATAATTTCATCAGGAGACCCTGTCTACCGTATTATTGGGAGTTTGAGTGGTAATATTTTATGACCATTTATCATTTAGGCTATATATGCAATAGCAAATGATTATCCTTAGTGGTTATCTTGCTTGTTATAAACATTAAGAGCATTTGATGGTAAGATGCCATATATCTTGGTATCTAACAGGTACCCTGGGGTATGTAATGAGTGAGGTTGAGGATGGAAAGCCATTCAGCCAAGTCGTTAATGCTGCTAAAAGCCTTGGCTACACTGAACCAGGTGATAAGTTACAACCACCCTATTATTGTTGTAATATCACCATATGAGTATTGAAGATATGACTTACAAAAACAGAAAAGTGGTTGTTGAAAATATGATATTATCTATTCTTAAGTAGTGTAGTCTTACTTTATTGTTTATATGTTCCTCTGTCTGAGTAATTCTACTCGTTTTCCTGTCAGGCAAGTGTTCCTCTTGTACAACAATATTTTCTGGCCTTCTGCTTAGGAAGTTTGTCTAGCACTAATTCGAATGTGAGAGAAATCAGAGAAATTTGAGAAGCGATTAAGAGAATGTGTGATACAAATGTCTTACACGTGAATTCTTCTTTATACGCTCACTTTACAGTGCTTATTCTTACATTTACCCAATGTGGTGAACATGCACATACAACTCTATTTTACACTTATCTCTTGTTATTTATATTTAGCTATCTGATTCTCCCCTCTAGCTGGTGCATACATATAAACCTGTATAGGATTTGGTGAGTATGTCTATAAGCTGATCAGTTGACTTTCCAAACTTTATAACAGTGTCGTGAAAACATTTTTTTGGGAAGGGACAGTCGGTTTCTATATGCTTGGTCCCTCTTGTCAGATGCTGCATACAATGGGATACAAGTATAACTTGATTATCGCACTCAAGTTTTGTTATGATCAATTTCAATTGTTGTAGAAAAATCTATTTCGGGTTTAACTACGCCTAAAAGTTACCTCCTGACATGAGGATTGCCGAAGACCACATAAAGAGATTACAACAATACATCCTCAACTGAAGTGAGACTAACATGTTATTGCTTGCACAGGGCGGAACATATTGAGTAGGTATAAAATAACTTAGGGGCTAAACATTGGGTAACTAAACATTAGGGATGAGCTTGAGTGAGATATCATTAAGTAAATGGACTTTGCGCCTAACCCAGTCCAAAAAGCTAATCCAAGATCATATAAGGGTACCTTTAACCAATGTGGTAAACTAACAGCAACCGTTTTCGATCCTTTAGGTGGTTGTTAATCTATGTGCTCATCGTTACCATAGTCATGACCCAATATTCTCTTTCTTCTATATTGCCCAATTGCCTGAAAGTATTATAGTATTTAGAAGTAGAACGTATATAAAGAAGGTATCACTGTCCATTTTGCATCGTGATTGTCTTTGACTTTTGAGAAGTTGAACATCCCTCATGACAACATTTTGTTTTGATGCTGTGAGAATATAGGAATTTTTTTTATTGAATTGTTGTTGTGTCTACATTATTACATTGAGACCCTATTTATAGACACTAAAATACAATCCTTTACCAAGTAGGATACTATTTACTATTCCTATTGTTGGAATGGGCGGCCTGGGTAAGACAACACTTGCTAAAGCGGTTTACAATGATGCAAAGGTTTCTGAGGCATTTAAAGCGGACCATTTTGGTTTGAAAGCTTGGTATTGTGTTTCTGAGGCATATGATGCTTTGAGAATAACAAAAGGGTTACTTCAAGAAATTGACTCATTTGACTCGAAGGATGACAACAATCTTAATCAGCTTCAAGTCAAATTGAAGGAAAGCTTAAAGGGAAAGAAGTTTCTTATTGTTCTGGATGATGTCTGGAATGACAACTACAATGAGTGGGATGACTTAAGAAATCTTTTTGTAGAAGGACGTATGGGAAGTAAGATCATTGTGACAACACGTAAAGAGAGTGTTGCCTTGATGATGGCAAATGAGAAAATTAGCATGGACAATTTGTCTACTGAAGACTCTTGGTCTTTATTTAAAAGACATGCATTTGAAAACATGGATCCTATGGGACATCTGGAACTTGAAGAGGTCGGAAAACAAATTGCAGCTAAGTGCAAAGGACTGCCCTTAGCTCTGAAGACACTAGCTGGCATGTTACGCTCCAAATCAGAGGTTGAAGAGTGGAAACGTATTCTGAGAAGTGAAATATGGGAGCTGCGAGACAAGGACATATTACCAGCGTTGATGTTGAGCTACAATGATCTTCCCGCACATTTAAAGCGATGTTTTTCCTTTTGTGCAATATTTCCTAAAGATTATCCATTTAGGAAAGAACAAGTTATTCATCTATGGATTGCCAATGGTCTCGTACCAAAGGAAGATGAAATAATTGAAGATTCAGGCAACCAATACTTTCTGGAGTTGAGATCAAGATCATTATTAGAAAAGGTCCCAAATCCTTCTAAAAGGAACATAGAGGAATCATTCTTAATGCATGACCTTGTCAATGATTTAGCCCAAATTGCATCTTCAAAACTTTGTATCAGGTTGGAAGAGAGCCAAGGATCTCACATGTTGGGAAAAAGTCGGCACTTGTCTTATTCAATGGGATATAGTGGTGACTTTGAGAAATTGACACCCCTCTACAAATTGGAGCAGCTGAGGACATTGCTTCCGGTATGTAATGATGTCAGTTATTACTCTCTGTGCAAGAGGGTGTTGCATAACATACTGCCAAGACTAACATCCTTAAGGGCATTATCATTGTCTCATTATTGTATTAAGGAGTTGCCAAATGACTTGTTTATCAAATTAAAGCTCCTCAGATTTTTGGATGTTTCTCAGACAGAGATTAAAAGGTTGCCAGATTCCATTTGTGTGTTGTATAACTTAGAGACACTTCTTCTAAGCAAGAGGGTGCAGCTTAACATATTGCCAAGACTAACATCCTTAAGGGCATTATCATTGTCTCATTATTGTATTAAGGAGTTGCCAAATGACTTGTTTATCAAATTAAAGCTCCTCAGATTTTTGGACCTTTCTTGTACAGAGATTAAAAAGTTGCCAGATTCCATATGTGCATTGTATAACTTAGAGACACTTCTCTTGTCATCTTGTGATTATCTTGAGGAGCTACCGCTGCAGATGGAGAAGTTGATTAACTTGCGTCATCTTGACATAAGCAACACTCGTCTCTTGAAGATGCCGCTACATCTGAGCAAGTTGAAAAGCCTCCGAGTGCTAGTGGGAGCCAAGTTTCTTGTTGGTGGTTCAAGAATGGAAGATTTGGGTGAAGCACATAACTTGTATGGATCTCTATCAGTTGTAGAGTTGCAAAATGTGGTTGATAGAAGGGAAGCTGTGAAGGCAAAGATGAGGGAGAAGAATCATGTTGACAAGTTATCTTTGGAGTGGAGTGAAAGTAGTAGTGCCGACAATTCGCAAACTGAAAGAGACATACTTGATGAGCTACGCCCACATAAAAACATAAAAGAAGTCAAAATCATCGGATATAGAGGGACAACATTTTCGAATTGGCTAGCTGATCCTTTGTTTCTTAAGCTAGAACAGTTTTCTATTGATAACTGCAAGAACTGTTTTTCCTTGCCAGCACTAGGACAGCTTCCTTGTTTGAAAATCCTTTCCATTAGAGGGATGCATGGAATAACAGAGGTGACGGAAGAATTCTATGGCAGTTTGTCCTCTAAAAAGCCTTTTAACTGTCTTGAGGAACTTATATTTGAAGATATGGCGGAGTGGAAGCAATGGCACGTACTAGGAAGTGGAGAGTTCCCTATACTTGAGAAGGTTGAAATTAAAAATTGCCCTGAACTCAGTTTGGAGACAGTACCCATCCAACTTTCAAGTTTAAAAAGTTTTGAAGTAATTGGTTCTCCCACGGTTGGAGTTGTTTTTGAGGGAATGAAGCAGATTGAGGAATTATATATTGGTGATTGTAACTCTCTTGCCTTCTTTCCTTTTAGCATACTGCCCACTACCTTGAAGAGAATAACGATATCTCGTTGCCAGAAATTGAAATTGGAGGTGCCAGTTGGTGAGATGAGTATGTTTCTCGAGGAATTGACACTGAATGAATGTGATTGTATAGATGTTATATCACCTGAGTTACTCCCAAGAGCACGCAGATTGAATGTATATAATTGCCACAACCTTACTAGGTTTTTGATTCCTACTGCCACTGAAAATCTCTTTATTTGGGGATGTAAGAATGTTGAAATACTTTCGGTGGCATGTGGGGGGACCCAGATGACGTCACTGAGTATTGGGTACTGTTCAAAACTGAAGTGTCTGCCAGAACGTATGCAGGAACTCCTTCCATCTCTTAAGCAACTGCAACTGAGTAATTGTCCAGAAATAGAGTCCTTTCCTGAAGGAGGATTGCCCTTCAATTTACAACTCCTTCATATCAGCGAGTGTGAGAAACTGGTGAACGGCCGAAAGGAGTGGCATTTACAGAGACTCCCCTGTCTAAGAAAGTTAGTGATCTCTCATGATGGGAGTGACGAAGAGATTGTTGGTGGTGAGAATTGGGAGTTGCCTTCCTCTATTCAATCACTTTATATAGACAATGTGAAAACATTAAGCGGCCAACATCTCAAAAGCCTCACCTCTCTTCAACATCTTTATATTATGGGTAATTTACCTCAAATTCAGTCAATGCTGGAACAAGGCCAGTTTTCGCACCTCACTTCGCTTCAAGGTCTACACATCTGGAATTTCCCTAATCTCCAATCACTTCCTGAATCAGCACTGCCCTCCTCCCTCTCTCAGCTGGAGATCTCCCAATGCCCATCACTCAGACCACTACTAGAATTTGACAAGGGGGAATACTGGCCAAATATTGCTCAATTTCCTACCATAAAGATCGATGGGGAATGGCTGTGATGATTAAAACGAATGGCTCTTCAACTGATGTAAGCTATTCTTTTCCCTTGGAAGCTTTTTATTTCCGTTTACTTCACTTTGCTTTTTTGTTAATTCTTTTCATTTTTAATCACTAGTTCTGAAAACATTCGTTGTACGTTTATCCCAAAATATTTCATATAATTTTTGTATTGCAAATGACATATTTTATCCCCTTCAAATCTATTGGTATTTACTAAAAAAATATCCACCATTTTTACGATAGAAAGTACATATATCTTCCTAATAAAAAGAATACAACCTTAATTATAAAATTGACTAAAAGCGCATAAAGTAAAAATAACTAATTATTGTACAAATACAATATTCAAATGAGGATACTAAAATACCACATGTTAGGTTAATGTATACAAAACAACTAACCAATGTAAATTCTCAATATTAATAACCATAAAACAATAAAAAGTTATACAATAACAACAAACAAGAAACATAAACATTAAAAAAAACAAATAAAAAGAGACAAGAGAAGAGAACCAATCACGTGATGCCATGAAGGCATATAACCTGCAATATCCAACTACAATATCAACAATAACAAACAAACTAAGATGAATGTCAGAGATGTAAACTTTTAACTTGGTAGTTCCCAATTTTTTAACTTGGTAGTTCCCACTTTTATAGTAAAATACTACTACAAGATATCATTTTATAACTCCCTCCAAATACACAAATAACGTCGTATTAATTATCTATAGCCGTAAACAATTATAATTACAGTACGTGTTATAAGAATAAATCAATTAATGAAAATTCTAAAATCA